ACCAAAAAAACAACCACGCTCAGAGACCACCAAAAAAACAACCACGCCCAGAGACCACCAGAAAAACAACCACTCAGAGACCACCAGAAAAACAATCACTCAGAGACCACCAGAAAAACAACTCAGACCACCAAAAAAACAATCACTCAGAGACCACCCAAAAAACAACCACGCCCAGAGACCACCAAAAAAACAATCACTCAGAGACCACCCAAAAAACAACCACGCCCAGAGACCACCCAAAAAACAACCACGCCCAGAGACCACCAAAAAAACAATCACTCAGAGACCACCAAAAAAACAATCACTCAGAGACCACCAGAAAAACAACCACGCCCAGAGACCACCAGAAAAACAACCACGCCCAGAGACCACCAGAAAAACAACCACTCAGAGACCACCAAAAAAACAACCACTCAGAGACCACCAAAAAAACAACCACTCAGAGACCACCAGAAAAACAACCACGCCCAGAGACCACCAGAAAAAAAACCACGCTCAGAGACCACCAAAAAAACAACCACTCAGAGACCACCAAGAACCCCACAGTTCCACCCTGATCTACAAATCTTCTCTTTCAGAAATATATTTCACAAACTTTTGCCTTTTCTGGTACGGTTTCTTTCCAGGGCAACTTTTTGCCTCTATATATAGCCTTCCTTTCAAAATGTAATTTCAGCAATGTACCTAAGAGTCCAAGTGTCATTTAACTTTCGATTTATTCAAAGGCTTTTTCTATATGACTTATACTTTTAAACAGCTGCTTTTCATCACCCTGAGCCCCAAATCAGTGTTTAGAGATTGTAATGTCTTTGTCCCACAACAAACTGCAATGCAGGCAAACAAACCACCTGTGGGTCGGGCACAAAAGTGTAAACTCAGGCATGCTGTACGCTTTGTTTTGACTTAACAAGTTGTGTAAACACAGCCACTGTATTTCATCAACACGATTTACGTCTTCGTTTGATGTGTGAAGTCTAATGTAATTTTTTTTTCAACTATCACCACTGTGAAGCAGAATTTTTTTAAGGAAGCATGTACAATCCAGATACAGATTAACGGAATTGGAAGGGACCTTGTAGGTCATCTAGTCCAACCCCACCCCCCAAAGCAGGAGACCCTACACCATTTCTGACAGAGGGCAGTCCAGTCTCTTCTTGAAAGCTTCCAGGGATGAAGCTCCCACAACTTTCGAAGGCAACTTCTGTTCCATGGGTTGATTGTTCTCACCGTCAGAAAGTTTCTCCTTATTTCCAAGTTGAATCTCTCCTTGTTCAGTTTCCATCCATTATTCCTTGTCTGGCCTTCGGGGGCCTTGGAGAATACCCTGACCCCCCTCCTCCTCTCTGTGGCAGCCCCTCAAATATTGGAAAGCTGCTCTCCTGTCTCCCCTGGTCCTTCTCTTCCCTAGACTAGCCAGGCCCAGTTCTTGCAACTGTTTGTCGCATGTTTGAGTCCAATCTGACTCAGCACCCTTGTGGCTGTGCTCTCTCGGTGCAGGAATATTGGGGGAGTGGGGGGGGGGAAAACCCCCCACCTAATTTAAGGACATTTCATTACCTGTGGCATCCACAAGTAGGTGGCAGTTGTAGATCCGCCGCGTGCTCTCCCAATCTTTGCCCTTCTCGTGGAAACCTCCAAGAGACAACCACACTCCACATTCCCTGCCAGGAAAAGAAGCAAAGGTTTGTTTCCACCTGGGCTTACCTGGCTGAGGTTCTCCCCTTCCCCACTTGGTGGCACCTACGGAAGACGGAGCCGTTCTCTGCATCTGCTACAAGAACTAAGACCTTCTATTTCTGAAAGAGTCTTTCGTTTGTCACCCTTAGAGGTGTGGCCCAACTCCCAGAATTCCCCAGCCAACCATGCTGCCTGGGGAATTCTGGGAGCCGAAGTCCACACCTCTTCAAGTTGCTAATGTCGAGAAACATCGTGTTAGGACGTGAACACATTTTTAATATGCTTTATCTTCCCTTTATTATTACTTTATAAATAACTCAAGATGGCCAACATACTCAACAGACCGTCCTTCTCTTATTTTGCCTGCAATAACAACCCAGTGGGTGGGGCTGAGAGAAAGTGACTGGCCCAAAGTCACCCAGCCAGGTTTCATACCTAAAGTGGGACAAAAACGTACCCTCTCCTGATGATTGGCCCAAAGTCACCCAGTTGGCTTTCATGGCTAAGGCACAACTAGAACTCAGAGTTATCTTGGTAATTAGCCCAGTTACCCAGACATCTTGCATGTCTAAAATAGAATTAGAACTCATCATCTCATCTATGAGCTGTGGTGGCACAGTGGTCAGAGTGCAGTACTGCAGGCTACTTCTGTTGCCTGTCGGCTGCCTGCAATTTGGCAGTTCAAATCCCACCAGGCTCGAGGTTGGCTCAGCCTTCCGTCCTTCCGAGGTGGGTAAAATGAGGACCCAGATTGTTGGGGGCAAGAGGCTGACTCTGTAAACTGCTTAGAGAGGGCTGGAAAGCACCACGAAGCGGTATATAAGTCTAAGTGCTCTTGCTATCTCCTGGGTTCTAGCTTGGCGCCTTAACCACTAGACCAAACGGATTTGAAGCCAAGATGGCGCTGACGACAGCTGCCTCAGTGAAATGCTCTCTAATGGTTTCTTTATTCCTTATTATTATCTGCAATTCACTATGGATTTCATACTCACGAGACCATCTGCTAAGAATTAGGCAATGTTTTCTTAAGGAGCAGCTTTCTGATTCCTCACCCCCACCTGTCTTTGCAAACGCGGAGGAGATTCTAACCAACAATTTCCCGGTGCTGTGGATTACAACAAAGAAAGCAAAGAAGCGACCACGCTGGAAGAGGAGAAGAGGTAAACGAGCGGAAATTTCAAACAGACTAAGGAATAGGGGGGGAAAAACTCCTCTCCCTTCAATCTTTCTGACTAATTTACGCTCACTGGCTAACAAGATGGATGAAATTCATCTCTTAAATAGATGGAATTCTGATTTTCATAATTCAGCTGTTTTTTGTTTTACTGAAACCTGGCTTAATCCACAAATTCATGGGGACAACACCATATACATCCCAGGATATCAGACATTTAGATCAGACAGAATTGAAGAGACATCAGGTAAAACAAAGGGTTGAGGATTGTGTTTATATATCAACAACAGCTGGTCTAAGGATATAACTATAATATATAAGTTTTGTGATGAAAACTTAAGAGTCTTTACATATCAACTGCAAGCCATTTTACTCTCCACGTGAGTTCTCCTCATTTCTCCTAATAGCTGTGCATGTTCCTCCTGTGTAAACAAGACATTACGAACTCTTGCTGATCAAATTATGGAGGCTGAAGGCAAACACCCAGATTCCCTTCCCATCATTTTAGGAGATTTCAATCAAGCAAATTTAAGGAAAGAGCTCCCAAAATATTTCCAGCATGTAAATTTTCCCACCAGAGGCAAAAATATTTTAGACCACTGCCACACAACAGTAAAAGATGTTTATAGGTCTTTACCACGAGCAGCTGTGGGACACTCTGACCACTGCATGATTCACCTTGTACCTGCCTACAGACAAAGACTTAAAACCATGAAACCAACAATTAAATCAGTGAAGACTTGGTCAGATGGGGCAAAGCTGAAACTCCAGGCCTGCCTTGATTGCACTGGTTGGAATGTTTTTGAAGGTGCCTCTGCAGACCTAGATGAGCTCACATCATACGTTAGCTTCTGCGAAGACTTATGTGTACCAACAAGGAACCTGCAAATATATAGCAACAATAAACCTTGGTTCACAGCAAAACTTAAGCAGCTTGGTCGTTCCGAAGAGGAAGCCTACAGAAAAGGTGACAGAATGCTATACAACCAGGCCAGAAACATATTAACAAGAGAGATCAGAGAAAAGCAAAAAGAAGCTACTCTGAAAAGTTAAAGAATCAATTCTCAACAAATGAACCAGCAAACATGTGGAAAACTCTTAAAAACATCACTGGCTTCAGCAAACCTCCTTCCCAGGCAGAAGGAAATCAACAACTAGCAGATGACCTGAATGTGTTTTACTGCAGGTTTGAAAGGAAACTTCAGCCTCCTATCTCCACAACCCACATCTCAAACACACCAACAACAGCCAAGCCTCCTACAACTGGCCCCAATCCATTGGGCTCACAACCTCTGGTGATCACAGAAAAAGAAGTGCAAGATCTATTACACAGACAAAAGCCAGGGAAAGCACCAGGGCCAGACAAGATAACTCCTTCTTGCTTAAAAGTCTGTGCTGACCAATTGGCCCCCATCTTCACCCGAATCTTCAATAGATCATTAGAAATGTGCTATGTTCCTTCCTGCTTCAAATGCTCTACTATCATCCCAGTGCCAAAGAAGCCCTCCATCAAGGAACTGAATGACTACAGACCAGTTGCTCTAACATCTGTAGTTATGAAAATCTTTGAAAGGCTTGTGCTGTCCCACCTGAAAACCATCACGGATCCGCTGTTAGATCCCATGCAGTTTGCATACCGAGCAAATAGATCAACAGATGATGCGGTTAACATGACTCTGCATTACATCCTATAACACCTTGAATCTCCAAATACCTACGCAAGGGTCCTCTTTGTAGACTTCAGTTCAGCATTCAATACCATCATTCCAGACACTCTTCTAAGTAAATTAAACCAACTAGCGGTACCTGAACACACTTGTAAGTGGATCATAAGCTTCCTAACAGACAGCAGGTGAACCTAGGCAGAATCACATCCAATACCTGTACAATCAGCACAGGGCCCCCCCAAGGCTGTGTGCTATCTCCACTTCTCTTCTCCCTACATACCAATGACTGCATCTCAAAAGATCCATCTGTTAAAATACTGAAGTTTGCTGATGACACAACAGTGATTGGTCTCATTCGAGACCACGATGAATCTGCATACAGACAGGAGGTTATACAACTTGCCTCGTGGTGTAACCGGAACAATCTGGAACTGAACACACTCAAAACTGTAGAAATGGTGGCAGACTTTAGAAGAAACCCTCCCATACTACCACCTCTTACAATACTAGACAACACGGCATCCACAGTAGAGACCTTCAAATTTCTAGGTTCTACTATATCACATGACCTAAAATGGACACCTAACATCAAAAACATCATCAAAAAAGCACAACAAAGAATGTTCTTTCTGCGCCAACTCAGGAAGCTCAAACTGTCCAAGGAGAACTGCTGATCCAGTTCTACAGAGGAATTATTGAGTCTTTCATCTGCACCTCTATAACTGTCTGGTTTGGTTCTGCAACCCAACAGGACAGACACAGACTCCGGAGAGTAATTAGGACTGCAGAAAAAACAATTACTACCCACCTGCCTTCAACTGAGCACCTGTATGCTGCACGAGTCAAAAAGAGGGCTGTGAAAATATTTACAGATCCCTCACATCCCGGACATAAACTGTTTCAACTCCTTCCCTCAAAACGACCCTGTAGAGCCCTGCACACCAGAACAACTAGACACAAGGACAGTTTTTCCCCGAATGCCATCAGTCTGCTAAACAAATAATTCCCTCAACACTGTCCAACTATTTACAAAGTCTGCACTCCTATTACTGTTAATCTTCTCATAACTCCTTATCACCCACCCCCTCCCACTTGTGATTGTAGGACTGTAACTTTGTCGCTTGTATCCTTACAATTTATATTGACTGTTTCCTAGTATGATTTGATTGTTGATTGTACCCTATGACTATCATTAAGTGTTGTACGTTATGATTCTTGATTCTTAACGAATGTACCTTTTCTTTATGTATACTGAGAGTATTTACACCAAGACAAATTCCTTGTGTGTCCAATCACACTTGGCCAATAAAGTATTCTATATGTTCTGGGACTGTTTTTATCATCCATCTTCGCTGCATGTCAACAACGCCCCCATAGGGATCCAAATTCTTGGAGGAGCCGTTCTGGCCCCCCGAGAGTCTTACCTGGCCAGGCTGACATAGCGCTGAAGATAATCCCCCTCCAAGGGCTCCGCCAAGCTGAGGGTCTCTTCCGTGCAGCTGCCAATGAAGTCAAAGGCTTCCGGGAGAAAGACAACGCAAGCATCCCGCCGAGTGGCCTCTCGGACCAGCTGCGAACAAGCCACCCAGTTGCGTTCTCGGTCTGGCGTCGACGTCACCTGGCAGACCGCAATGAGGGGCTTTGGGCCTCTCGCACCCGAGAACATGGCTGGGGAGCTGGAGAGGAAATATGGAAAAGGGTATCAGAGCAACACAGGCAACCCAGTCAGATGATCAATAAGAGTCCCTTTATTAGCTCCAACTTTGCCTTGAATGTCCTGCTTATCTTCTGGGCTGGAGGGAAAAACTCCCAGGAACAGCCTTTGGCTGCAGAGAATCAAGTCCAAAACGTGGTCAACAAAAACTGTAACTATAAGTCCAATCAAGGCAAGAGGAGGTAATTAGTCTGGCAGGGCAGGAGAAGGAATTCCAGATGTGAAGGAACGGCCATAATTCAACATGGTTGGGAAGACACAGTTTGTTCCTAGCAGACACCACACTCAGCTTGCATCTCTTTTAAACTCTCATTCCCACGTGTGGCTAATGAAGGGAATCAGGGCCCTTTCCTCCCGCGTAAGCCACGCAACCCATGTTGCCCCCTTCTCCGTTTCTCCCGGCGTGCCCTAGGATGAAGACGGGGTCTTCCTCTGAACTCCCTTTCCCTTGTTCTACCTCTCTCCTGCTCCGCCCAGCCGGACTTTTGCCCTTCCCCAGTTTCCTCCACAGCCAATGGAGCCATACTCCCGCTCCCTGTCAGCTCTTCCGCTTCCTCCTCGGATCCAGATCCTGACAGAGGCATGACAAAATCTATGCAGAAATCATCACACACACACCCGGATGAGAAACAGAAAATTTACTTCACATTGAACTCCTCCATTTAGCTTTATGCTTTTGGGTTGCTGGGGACGAAAACATTTGTTGTGATATCAGCTTGTCTGCTTGGAAGCCATTTTTCTTTGAGGCTTCTGGGCTGCCACATTCAGTGCCAGGGAATTTGGGAGGGGGGGGGTTTAAGGAGCGGTGGAAGATTAGCCACAACATTCCTTTCTCAGAAAGTCAAGGACATGTTGCCCTGCACCCGGAGGGGAACGACTGGGGATAGTTGTCAAGCCTGAAATTGACATATGCGTAGCCCTTTTATTTAGCCTTCTTATATATTCCTTTTCTTTTTTTCTCTTTGCTGGTTATGGGGTGGAAGGGTTTCGGGCTTGCCACATTCCTAAGGTGGGAGGAGCGGAGATAAAGAGTGGTGGCAAACCTTTTTCGGCTCCCGTAACGATAATTGCACGCGCGCTCGTGTGCCAGCACCCAGAAGGCAATGAGTGCTGGCCCACCCCCCACCCCCGTGCCTGTGCGCACAATCCCCCTGCAGTGTGCTGCACATCTGCATATGCACGATCCTCTTGCTGCGTGCCCACCTGCGTGCGCGATTCCCCCGCCATGCACAGCACGTCTCTGCACCTACGTATGTGATTCTGCCACATGCCACGCACCTGCGTGCGCAATCACCCTTTCATGCGGCGCACACCCGCGCATTCACGTGCAATCACCCTCGCGCCGCGCATCTGCGCATGTGTGCACAACCCCCAGCATGCGCTGCATGACTCTGCGCATGCGCATGTGTCTCCCACGCTCCCCGCGCATGTGTGCCAGATACCCAACAACCAGCTGTCAGGTGGTGGCGGCGTGCACACATGCGCAGTGGAGCTCTTCCTGGCAAGCTCTCACATGCCGGGGGAAATGGCTCTGCGTGCCATTTCCAGCACGCATGCCATAGGTTCGCCAACACGGAGCTTGGTGGTTCTCCTTCCCGTGGGAACGAAAGCTGACCCTGCTGCGACCTGGAGGTGGAGGCTGATGGCACCAGAAAAACGTTGATTTACTTCTATTGGGGAATGTGACTTTTGGGGGATGTTTCTAACTTCCAATATTATGTGGTGCAATTCCGGGTTGGGTCAGATCCGGAATGACAAACAGACTTTGCCAATTTGATGCTTTACCTAAATAAAAGAAATTGTCTTGGAAGGTGGACTTTGCTCTTTTCTTTTTAAATGGATTTCATCACTTGGAAACCGAAGTAACGATTGGGCCATGTGATGGCTTGATGGATGCCGGGGATGGATCTTTGGTTTCTCTTTTGGGAAGGGAAAACCCGGAGTTCTCAGATTCGGGTTTTTCCCCAGATGTGCCAATGTGGCATCTCTAATAAAATGGATCTTTGGGAAGATGATAATTCTCCAAGTTTTTTTTTCTCTGGAGCTTACTTGGAACGTTGACACATTAACCAGAAAGAGAACAACTGGAGTTTTTGTTTTATGTTTTTAAATCCCAACCTTTCAACTAGATTTAAAATGGCAAAGCTCCTATTTTAAAATTATGAATCAGCATTCTTGTTTAGTGCTGGAACGGTTGAATAGAAATCAATGAAGATTGCACCCATAGCACGAACCAGCGCACTGCATTTTTAGCCTACTGTGTTTTTGTGTACTCAATATACTTGGTGGATTGTTGTTCTCTCTGTTGTGCAAATCCCCCCAAAAGGACTCAGTTGTGCAAACCATGGATAGCATGGTGCAAAATTCTGGGAGTAAACAGAACCCAATTCCTCCTTCTTAATTCCTTAATTCTGGGCCAGGATACCTTGCTGGGTTGCAATGAAAATAAACAAGGGAAGGCCACATACCAAGTTGTAAAAAGCAACAGAAATCAGAGTTTTTAATAGATTAACAGAGTTGGAATGGACCTTGAAGGTCATCTGGTCCAACCCTCAGCCCATGCAGGAGAGACCCTACACCATTTCTGACAGACTTTCTTCTTGAAAGCCTCCAGGGATGAAGCTCCCACAATGTCTGAAGGCAAAAGTTATCCTTCAGATACGACTGAACTGTAACTCGCAGTTCAGCATGCTGGAGCTTCACACCTATTTTTCCATTCTCCCGCCCCTTCTTACTGCTCCGTGGATGTCATGTGCAAAAGCGGCCCTGAGGTGAGTTACCTGTTGCCAGGTCCCTGGCTCGGGATCCCTCTAAACTGTTTCCCAGCACCGCACAGGATTTGCAAGGTCTTCTGGACCGCTCCTCTCAACCTAGAATAGTCAAAGAACGAAAAGGAGGATAATGGCTTTAATAGAAGAGAATATTTGTAGCTCAGAGGTGAACTGTAAAATCCTTGGTGATCTCTGAGCTTGGCTCTTTGGTACTTGGGCAAACCAGCCATCAATAGATACATAGCGTTAAACTATCTACCTGTATTTTATTTTCACCTCTTCACCACTCCATAGATTCTTTTCTTACAGCAGAGGTCTCCAAACTTGGCTACTTTAAGACTTGGGGACTTCAACTCCCAGAATTCCTCAGCCAGCACAAGTCTTAAAGTGGCCAAGTTTGGGGACCCCGTCCTACCGTGTGATTCATTGGTATGTTCATAGGACTCACTGAACCCAGCTGAAGAACTAGTTCAGTGTTTTTACAAGCTTGGCCCCTTGATGATGGGTGCACTTCCAAACTCCCAGAATTCCACAGCCAGGATGGTTTAAGATGGGTGGACTTCAACTCCCAGAATCCCACAGCCAGCATTGCCTAAGGATGGACTAAGGATGATTTAAGATGGGTGCACTTCCAAGTCCCATAATTCCCCAGCTGACAGTGTTTTAAGTTGGTTGGACTATAATTCCCAAAATTAGCCAGCATGCTTTAAGAGGAATGGACTTCAACCCCCAGAATTCCCCAGCCAGCATGCTTCAAGATGGGGAATTTGCTGGCTGGGGAATCCTGGGAGTTGAAGTCCATTCCTCTTAAAGGGGCCGAGTCTGAAAAACCTGGCATTTGCCCAACTTGCTCCTCTGGGTTAGCCACACCCCCATGCCCTGACGCCCCGCCCCCAAATGGGCCAATGGGGGGGGTCCTGATTTTGCACGTGGGGCTGCTTCCTCCAACCTTCCAGCCCGCCCACCGCCCCCCCCAGCCCTGCAGCTCCAGCGGCCCACATTCCGCTCCTGCCTCCGGCCACGGCGTATCCCGAGGAGCCTCCGCGGCAGCGGCAGCAAGTCCCCCTCTGCTCCAGCTCAGTCCATCCCGGAAGTCCAACTGGGCCCCTAACAAAGATGGCGGCTGCGGCGCTCCACAGCTCTCTCCGTTTCCGCTTCCGCTCGCCTGATTTGAATAACGCTCATCCTTTGGCCGTTTTCCCCCCTCGCGGGCCGGTCACGTGGTACTGGGGAGGGGGTTCAGCCGCCGCCCTTAACAAAGATGGATGCCTCAAACGGGTACCAGTCTGAAATAAACCGCCGAAGCTCGACTCTTTCCCCCGTCTGCGGGGGCGCCTTCCCTCTCTGATGCAAAATTTTGGTTTTCAACGCGGATGCTGTCATATTTCCTGGGGAGAAGAAGCGAGGAGAGGACGATTCCCGTGTCAAACATGGCGGAAGAAACGGCGCCAACGGCCGCTTCCGGTCCCGTTAGATAGAACCCGGGCAACCGGAAGTGGTGTTTCTTCCCAGCCCGGAGGGAGGAGGGCGAAGATGGCGGAGGAGAGCAAGAGTAAGAGCGGCCTGGCGGCGACTCCGGCGGGTCCTGCTAGCGGCGGAGGCGGGGCGGCGAAGCCCTTGACTCCCGAGCAGGTACTGCGTGGGGCGTCCCGGGAGCGGGAGCCAGCCGAGCGGCGGGCTCCTGGCCATGTGCAGAGCGCCCAGCCGAGCAGGAGGATGCGGTTGGATGCGGTTGCTAGGGGCGACGGTGCTGCTTCTCTCCCCTGAGCATGTGCAGAGCGCCCTGAGCCCCCACCAGGCCTATAGCGGGGCTCTTAGGAGACCTTATTTACTTATTTTATGTATTATTTATTATTCATTTTGATTTTTTATTATTCACTATTAATTTATCTATAGCTGCCCCTCTCAGCCGAGGGGGGGGGAAGAGAGAGGAGAGAGAGTGTCATAGAAATACAGGCAGTCCTCGACTTACAACCATTCGCTTAATGACCATTCCAAGTGGCAATGGCACTGGAAAAAAGGGCCTTGGGATCATTTGTCACCCTTTAGGACCGTTTGCAGCCTCCCCTGTGGTCACGTGATCAAAATTTGGACATTTGGGCAACATCTATGACGGTCGCTCCCCCGAATCACGCGATCCTTTTGCGGCCATCTGACGAGCAAAATCAGCGGGGAAGCCAGATTCACTGAACAACTGTGGCAAGGAAGGTCGTAAAATGAGGCAAAACTAACTTAACGGCTGTCTCACTTAGCAACAAATGTTGGGCTCATTTGTGGTTGTAAATCGAGGACTACCTGTAGTTTTCTACCTGAAGGCAGAAAAGATCTAGTCTTCTACTGAGTCTGTTCTTTGAGGGAGGGGTTGGTCTTTATGTTTAATTTTATTATTATTATTATTTTATTATATTTATTATTTTTCATAATTTTTGTTTGTTTTTATTTTTATTTTTAAATGAAATGCCATGTGGTGGACATGTACTTATCCCAAGGACTGACTCCGCTGGAAGAGCTAATGCAAAGCAAGCTTTAAAGATACGTGCAAATGCAGACGTGGGTCTGGGCTCAATTTCACGTTTGAGGAGGTTGTGTTTCCCACATTGTAGTGAGTTTACCAGTTACTAGAGCAGGGCAACTTTAAGACTTGTGGACTTCAACTCCCAGAATTCCTCAGCCGGGATAGCTTTCGTAGAATTCTGGGAGTTAAAGGCCACAAGTCTTTAAAGTTGCCAAGATTGGATGATCCCTGTACTAGAGCTCAAATCTTTGCAGGGATTTTGTCTCTGGTAGGTTTGAACTGGTTCTTAGCAGAATCCACATTCCACATGGAGAAGATTCTGTTCCTTCAAACAACGAGAAACATTCATCAAAGTCCATTCCTAAAACATTACAGAAAGACACACACACACATATCTCTCCTGCTCCCAACAGGAGCTTCTGATAAAAGTGGCCGTGCTAAGCCATCCAGATTGATTCTGGAAAGTGACACAGGCAGTGTATATACATTTAATAAATAAAATAAAAGATACTGCAACACATTGTCGGAACCACCTTTCCTACTGTCATCAGTGAGGGAAGGGAGGGGAACAAAGGAGGAACCAATGGTTGCTGTATACTTTTATGATGGAAAATTGGGAGGGGAGAATTGACAGTTGAAGAAGGACAGAGCACCCTGGAATCCGGTTCGAGCTGGCATCCTGGTGTCCTCTGGGCCATTTGCCCTGGGTGTGGAATTCCACCAGCCCAAAACACCTCAGAGTTTCTCATAACATCACGTCACAAACTATTTGGGGGGGGGGGGGGAGGAGAGGAATCTGGAATATAGCAATAAGACTAAATCACTTCACAGTGCTTTCACAGCCCTCTCTAAGCAGTTTACAGAGTCAGCCTCTTGCCCCCAACAATCTGGGTCCCCATTTTACCCACCTTGGAAGGACGGAAGGCTGAGTCAACCTTGAGCCTGGTGGGATTCGAACTGCCAACTTGCAGTTGGTCGGTGGAAGTAGCCTGCACTACCGTGGCTCTAATGAACTAACAGCGGTTCTAGTTCACCAACATGGGTGTAATTTCTCCTTCCAGGTGGTAGCAGGATTCAACCGCCTCCGCCAGGAGCAGAGAGGTCTTGCTTCAAAGGCGGCTGAGCTGGAGATGGAGCTGAACGAACACAAGTATGTCCTGGCCACAAAAGGAAAGTGGGGATGGTCTTGATTCTTGGCAGACGGTTGCAATTCAGTTCGGGTAGCCCAGATCTACCCATGACAGGTAGTCCTTGAGTTACGACCACAATAGAGCTCAAATTTCTGTTGCCAAAGCCTGACAAGTTGCTAAGTGAGCTTTGCCCCATTCGCAACCTTTCTTGCCGCCGTTGTTAAGCGAACTGCTGCACTTGTTAACTTAGCAACACAGTTGTTAAGTGAATTTGACTTCAGAATTGACTTGGCTTGTCAGGTCGCAAAAGGGGATCCCGTAACACTGCGACCATCATTAAATGAATCGGTTGCCCAGTGTCTCAATTTTGATCATGTGACTACGGGCAGGGGTGGGATTCAAAAATCCCAACAACCAGTTCGCTGCCCGTTTGCTGGGTGGGCGTTGTTGAGGTAATTTCCTGTTAGGAGAATGAGCGTATACAGGGAGGCGTATAGAGAGTAGTGTTTGAATAATACACACACAGCACACAGATACACTGTACAGTAAATGTAGGTTTTTACTGTCGATAAAGGTTTAACCAAAGTTCAAAACAAGCAGTCCAAAGTCATTCACAGGTTAGTCAGCTTTCAGTCCAGGGATAATCCAATAACAAAGTCCAGTATCAAAAACAGTTCAGTATCAGACTTACATCAAATCCAAAAATATCAGTCAATTAGAAAAAATGGAGGAACGTCAATACTCTCCAACAGAAGGAAAAAGATACTCACTGAGACACACTCTGAGACTAAGACTAAGACTAAACGACCCAGGTTTCTGGCTCCATCTTATGGCTGTTTGAGAAACCACACCTAATTACAATTTTAGCATTCCCTTAAAGATACAGTTTTAAAATGTTTATCCTGGTTTATATATTTTCAACCCAAATAGCTGTTAGGTGACTTATATTCCTAACAGGCGTGGCCTACGAAAACATCCAGGAAGGCCATTTTTCTCCTTCCCCAGAGTCCGGAGGCTTCCCTCGGGCCTCTGGGAGGAAGAAAATGGCCGCCCCCGGGCTCCGGAGGCTCTCCGGAAGCCAGAAATAGCCGTTTCCAGACTTCTGAAACTTCCAGGAAGGCCATTTTTCGCCCTCCCAGAGCCTCTGTGTGGACTCTGCACCTTACCTGCATCCAAAACGTGCCATGTGGAGATTCCTGGGAGGGGAGGTGCTGGGTAGGCGGGGCCAGCCGGTTGGTTTCAACTACCGATTCAGCGAACCAGATGTCAATTTAATATCCGGTTCGCCCGAACCGTCCCGAACCAGCTGAATCCCAGCCCTGGCCACGGGGATGCTGCAATGGTCGTAAGTATGAAAAACAGTAACTTTCAAGGGTTCCTAAACAGTTGTAAGTCAAGGACTACCTGTATTCCAAATATGGCGCCACCGGGCAGCAATGAGGCTTCGACACGGAAGTCTAGCAAACCGATTGGCAGGTCCCTTGATTTTTAGATCCCTTCCTTGGTGTTGGCCTTGCCTGGAAGTGCTGGAGCGGACTTGCAATTTTCGTCTCCTCTGCAGGTTGGTTATTGAGACCCTCAGAGAGGTGGACCCGAGCCGGAAGTGCTTCCGCATGGTAGGGGGGGTGTTGGTGGAGCGCACCGTC